CATAAAATGTTAATTAGTAGTTGCATGCATAGTTATCATACCTGACCCTGCCATTGACTCAAAGAAATCATCGGGTCATCGGGTTGTGGTTCAACCGATGGGTCATTGCAACTTGCAAGGTCGAATTTTAGTTAATTTTTAAAACAAAAAACTTTGAATCAATACAGTTGTCATTCTTTTAGATTTGTACTTCGGTTTCATGATTCTTCATGTTGAGTTTTTAACTTTAATGGGGATAAAATTGTATATTAAAAAAAATTATTTGTGATGAAAGTTGTTTGTGGTAAATAATTTCCCAAATTCTTTTAGTTACAACGGACATAATAATTTTAGTGAAAATGCTGGGAAAAATGGGGGGGTTTTGGTAAAACTTTTGATAAGTGAGTGGTGACAAATTAGCTGGTAGTGGAGACAAGAAAGAAACAGACGGAAATTAGGGAGGCCTAGATTTCACGCATGCATTCTTATATTCTTAACATTGTGCACTTAGACTTCTCGAATCTCACTGAAAAACATTTTCCTGTTTATGTGTGTTTTACATCTGAGATTGAACACTTTTTCTGTCTCAAGAAAGTAGTTATCACTATCTACTTGGAGGATTGTTAAGGACAGGAAAATCCGAACACATTTGCACATTTACCCACTCCACCTTTTGATTTCTCCCATAAAAATGGTTTATATCCCAATAAAAGAAATAATTCATGTGGATTAACTAAGAATTTTTTTTTTTTAATTCCTAAAAAAATTGTTTATATCCTAAGATAAGAAATAATTGGTTCCCCCTATTTTCAAAACGATAATTTTATCTTAACTTGAACAGCATCGAAACAAAATTACTTGCCATGTTATGGTGTCGTTGAATCACTTTAATTATACAAAAGCTTAAATAAAATAAATAGAAATTTATTCATTATAATTTTATCTTTAATATATCCATTCACGCATAAGTAAGGTTTATGAAAACATTAGAGAGTGAGAAATTCGTTGAGTATATTTAAAGTTGAACTAATAAAATTTTTAAAGTACTAAATACATGTTAAATATACGATATATTAGAAATGAAACAAACATCACAATACTAAAAGATAGAATTGATATATGACAATTAAAAAAAATAAAAATCAATTGAATTTATTATACGGAATAATGACATTAAACTTCACTTCTTTAAAGTACGTACTTAGATGAATTGAAAATAACAAAGTGCCAATGTTGTGTTGAGTGAAGTGAGATTCCTAGGAAGAGCCAAATGCAAAAAGACAAACGAGCTAATTTATATATTTTGGGATATGGAGATCAAACATTCTTGGGAATTGTGAAAACCGCAAACATAAATTGGCTTTGCTATTTCTTGATTATTATAAAATTACGTGCCCATCTAAACATGGTGGAAAACAGTTAACAGACGAATATGTGGAACAACAACTTAATTTATAAGGGTCCGTTTGATTGCAA